TGTCCCAAATGGAGGGAAAGAAGCAGCCAAGAGCAAACAATGTCCTGAGAGGATTCAAATGTTAGACTTAGTAAGACAAAGATTTTAAATCTACTATTATGAATAGGTTCAAAGACATAAAGAAAACAGTGTCTAATGAATTAAAGTAGAGCATGAAAACACACAGCCTGCCCATCAGCAAAAGTTGGGGGACTTAATGGTTCAGGCATTTAAAAAAATTTCCAAACAATTATTAGATGACTATTAAGTGAAATAAACAGAGATTTAGGTAGCTGCACACAGGAAATACAGACTTTATAGAATTAAATGAAAGTATGACAATAATGTCTTACCACATAGATAATATCAATAAAAAGAAACTGCAAAAAAAGATCCAGATAAAGATTATGGAGTTAAAAAGTACAATAACTGAAATAAAAACTTCACTAGAAGTTCAACAACAGATTTGATCTGGCAGAAGAAAAGTTTGGCAAACTTGAAGAAGATATATCAATTAAGATTATCCAGTCAGAGAAGAGAAAGAATAAGAATGAAAAACATGAACAGAGCTTCAGAGACCTATGGGACACCACCAAGTATACCAGAATCAACACAATGGGAATCCCAGAAGGAGAGAAGAGAGAAAAGGGACAGAGAATATTTGAAGAAAGAATAGCCAAAACTTCCCAATTTGATGAAAAGCATTAGTCTACTCATCCATACAGGTAAAAATGACTATTATATTCATCTAATGACATGGCTTTTAAAATCATGCCACACATTTCTGGATCTTCTCTATTCCTTTTTATTTATGCTTGATAACTGGTCAGTTTTATCCAGCTAATAATACATTGCTATGAACAACTAACATTAATCAAACAAAACCCAATAACTTTCTAACTTTTTCCAACTATTTTCTGTGAAGCATCTGATTTCTTAGGCACTTGGTCTACCTTCCAAATTATTTCAGGCAACTGATATTTCAAATGTTTTGCCACTAAAAATGTATATCCATTTTAAACTCTATGATATTATTTCCTTGTCATCCCCTGTTTGGTTGCTAAATCAATGACATTTTTTTAGGATTTGGTTATAATACCATGCCATTTCTGAATACTAATTCTTTATTATTACATCTGAAATACACAATTTTAAATGATATTAAGTGGGGAGCTAGTTTTCTCAAAAGTATTTCTTAAAATTATCTACTAAATTAGTGCTTTTCCAACTTTATTTTTTTGCTACAACACACAATATCAAAAAAAAGCAATTTATAATGTGATCAGTAAACATGCACACATAAACACATGTATAACAGATGAGCCAACAGAATATCACGCTTAAACTGGGACTGTTTCTGTCAAACCTACATATATGTGAGTACTCTGAATTCCCTATCTACTGCTAAACTGATTTTTCACAATAGATTTTTTAAAAATACTGAACATTTAGCAATGGCATGGTAGCTGGGTTAGTCCCTTGAAAACTTAGAATCAACATGAATTTTGTTTCTTGATTATGGTATTATATTTATTAAATAGTGAATTTAATGATTAAAAGTAAATAAATATCATCCATCATAAGAAAACTATGTTTTATTTAAAATTACATATGCATCTTTTCACTTAAAATTTATATTCTCAAATGTTAAATTACATATTCATTTGCTCTAACTTTAATAGTACCTAAAAATCAAGAATAAAATAAGACATCAATCATTTTATTGTCTAAAAGAGGTCTTTATTATTATAATGACTAATAATGAGAGATATAATCTTAAAATTGAAGCACTGAGTTTTATATAAAAAGAAAGTAAAGGCACTATGTAATATCCTAAAGTTTAAAGTTTCATGGAGGTACCACTTTATCTTGGAAGGAGAACCAATTATAAAGATTACTAAGACAAAAGAGATCATCATCACTTATTCTTAGAAATGCTGGAAAAAAAAGGAAATACAAATTTGGAAGCTCAAAAATTGAGGATTTTTTGGTTTGTTTGTTTCTTTGTATTTATGCAGTAGTCTCTCAGTTTGCAATCTTTTTTTTTTTTTCAGTACCTTAACACATTTACAGTTTATTTAATAGTCAATAGTCAACTCATTGTTGGTCACTTCTCATCCTAATGGCAACTCAAGGACTTAGATCATTCTGCCTCTTTCACCTCTTCCCTTCTCTGATTTCTTGGAGTCCCCCCATTTAGCCAATGAATAGGAAAAGAGAATGGATGGTTGTACACAGGAGAGATCTTTTAAAGGACAGGCGTGGAAATGTCAGGCATCACTGCTGCCCATATTCTATTGAACGGAACTCAATTTCATATAGCTGTATCTAAGTTCAAGGAAGGCTTGAATATGTCATATAACTGTGTGCCCAGGGAGCAAGAGGATAACAATTTGGTGAACAACGGTGGGAGGGAGGGAGACGCAAGAAGGAAGAGATATGGGAACATATGTATATGTATAACTGATTCACTATGTTATAAAGCAGAAACTAACACATCATTGCAATCTTTTTTTTAAGGCCCATTCACAGGACGCCATTTGAACACAATGCTGCGTGGAAGATGCTGAGAAAATTTCCAGATTTAACCTATCATCTAATTGATGAGCATCTGAGAATACTTAGTAAGAATGTCATTTCTGAAACCTGGGTAAAAAGAAGCACATGTAACAGACTAATCTGGAGGGAAATTTGGCAAGACCAAATGTGTATCACTATTTTGAGTTCTCTATCATTATAATATTCATAATTTCACTTGACATGTTAAAATGTACTGTTTGGATGTATTTCATTTGTAAAGTTATAAGTAGTGAAATGAATAACATTTCACATTTTAGTATTTATGTTTTAAAGATATACAGTGGTGTTTCTCGACTTTGAGCATGCATCAGAATCCCCTAGAGGACACACTGAAATGTGTTGCTGTATTCAACCCCTAAAGTTTCTGGTTCAGTAAGTTTGGGATGGAGCTTAATTTGCATTTCCAATAACATTCCAGAGGATGCTGCTAGTCTGTGCACCACACTTTGAAAGCCACTCATTGATATACACATTTAATAACAATCTAGCTTTGGTTTTCACAGTTAAGACAGCAAGTGGTCAAAGTGATTATTTGACTGATCCAGATACTGATAAAAAAAACACTTCAGACAGATTTTAGTTTAGTTTCCCAATTTTAACTTCTAGTCCCTTTACTAAGGATATATTGGATGCATTAATAGAAGTATTTTGTATTTTAATTTTTTTGGGGGTGGCATATAAATAAACAACACACAGAGTCACACACAAACCTGAACCAACAGACTTCAACATCATTATTTTGCATTTATTGAGTGCCTATTAGAAAAAAGGAACTAAATTTATTTAATACACCTTTGGGTGAGGAACATCCCTTATTTATTCCACACAGTATCAAATACAAGTAGATATTATTATTATTCTCTGCAGATGAGGATCCTAAGGCACAAAATGTCATGCAGAGTGGTCCTGATTAGAAGTGAATTTCAATCACACTTTAGCCTTAATGCTAAATTATTCTCCGTTCACTATGCCACTGTTTTCATAAAGTGGTTCATCAGGATCATGACATTTAAAATCAAACTGGAATTTTGGAGAACATGTGTCTATTAAAAATACTTACATATTTTCAGTTTCCCCAACAGTCCTCTCTCATAATTAGTTTCATTTAATCCAACATCAAGCAGTGAAAATTAAATCACAGGAGTTTTGCAGAGGATAAATGATTCTGAAAGGGAAGAAAGGACAAACATTCAACAGTGTTTTGCCATTAGCTTGAGGATAGTAATTAAAAAATTAATTTGTTGTATAATAAATCTCTGGAATTATATTTCTTATGGTAAAAAATATGTAAGCAACCTAAGTATCATTTAATAGAAGACAGAATATATTGTGATACATTTATTCTCTACAATTCTAGTCAGAGTTAACAAGAATGAGGTAGATTTATATACATTGATGAAGAAACTTATTAAGGATAATAAATAAAAACAGAACAATTGCAGAATTATATAAATAACATAAAACCTGAAATTATATGTGCATGTATATACATATAAAAATACACAGTAAAAACTACATAGAAGTAGATACAGAAGGATACTCCAAAAATACATATTTAAAAAATTGTTACCTTCATTCAGGGGAGAGGAATTGAGGAACAGTGAAGGGGAACAGTTAACTCTTTCTCCTACATATATTTGTGTTGAATTTTCCACAATGAATGTATATTTATGTGTTAGTGTTAGTTAGTAAGTAGTTATTTTTTTCAGAAAGCTTAGAAACTAAAATTAAAAGAAAATGTATTCTCAAGGTATCTTAAAAACATGTGTGATTAACTATTAAAATATGAACTTTCAACCCTTGACAAATACCAACTTTAATTTGATCATTTATACTAAATAAGGCTTTGCAATTCATATTTCAATAGTTCATATTTTCAAACACATTAAAAATTTTTGGAATTCTCTGTGTTTACAGCTACCTGTGCTGCAACTCTTCTCTTGAGTTTTAAGACATCTAATTCTGACAGCTCAGATCTGTTTCACTATCACAGCAGTCAATTCATTAAATATCTGACCTTTGTAAATCTCTTTGTTCATCCAACTTAAAAAACAAGTCCAACCAGGTGTCTCACTTTTCCCCTTTTCTTTATTCATGGATGCATTTCCCTCCCTATGCTGTTATTTAAAGTATTCCCCCTAGTAACTCCTCATCACCATGCTGCTGACTTTCAATCTGCTGCTGAGGCTTTGGTTTCTTTCCTGTAATTCCACACAGCTGTTTGCACCTTCTGGTCTCTTTTCTGGCCATAAGTTCTTTGGAACTTCATTATTTAAGACAGCATCTTAAACTTACCATTACTCAGCCTCTCATGCATTGTTTTCTTAAACAAGAAAATATTAACAAGGATAACAATTTTATGTTTTCAAATACTGCATAACACACCTACATATTTCTAGTTTAAGTGAAAATTGTACTAAAACATGATTACTATAAGATGACTATATATAAATCTTACTTATATCACTATAATAAAATACTTTATACAATATATATTACATATGGTAAACTCTATATGCCATATAGATGTATAGATATAGTTTACTTAATAGATATAGTTTACTTAATTCAAATTATCTCAAGAGTTTTCCATTGGATCTCATGTTATGGCCTGGGCAGAGGATATTTTTATGATTGATAACATAAAGCTTAGAGAGCTAAAAGAATCAGGAATTAGAACCAGGAATTAGATGCCAGATAAAAAATTTGTTAATATCTGTATGTATATTAACCTTGAAATATTTCTATGAAATGACTGATATAGTGGTTTTTGTCTTTTAATATATATATGTCATGTTTACTGTTTTCTTTACTTGAAGTCCACTGAGACTTGCAGTGTTATTTCTCTCCTATTTCTTTCATTTTATCATTTTACTCTTACTCTTTTATGAGGTTATATCTCAAAAACACTGTAACTCTTCATTAAAAAAATACTATATTTATTTTTAATGATGAAAACTATTTTTTGATTACTAAAACTTTAACATTTCTTAGCCTGCATAGACTTTATTTTCTGTCATGGTTTAAATTTCATGTAACATAAAAACACAGTAGCTAAACCTCATGAAAAATTTAGTGGACATCTTTTCCATATATAAATTAACCATAGTCCAAACAACATGCTTTTACAATAGAAGTAATAAAATATTTAGTCCTACTATAAAGACCATGGCTCCCTTAAAGGCAAACATGGCCTTGAAGAGTGTATATTGATTCTATGTGTGGATATGCTTTCACTGCACTGAGGTGTTCCCTATGCTTCATGAAGATTCATCCTTGAAAGCTGCATTAACTTTCTCAAAACTTCACAATCATCTCTTAGATAGGAGAAAGTAGAAATAGATTTGGGACCTCAAAATGTAGATAAACACTTAAAACATTTTTCTGGAGATTTAATATGAGATTTTAACTAATTTAAATATTGTAATTAGGTAAGTGTTTTCCATCTGTATTTCTAAAAGTTCATTAATTAAAGTCAGCCAAAATTTTTACAAATAATCTTTCCATTGGTATAATTTTCATTATTTATATTCGTTTTGAAATTTATAATTTATTTAAGTTTTTTAATAGTAATTCCAACAACATAAAAATGTATTATATTCACTGAATAACCAGCAAAATAAAACATTTAATACATGTAGATAATTTGACCTAGCATGACATTTTTTTTTTAAGGGTGTAATGTTTTATTGAATAAATCACCAAAATTCACAAAGATCTAGAACAAGGATGAGCAAACTATGGCCCGCGTGCCAAATCTAGCCTGTCTCCTCTTCTCGTATAGCCCTTGAGCAAAGATCCTTTTCACATTTTAAAATAGTTGGGAAAAAAAATCAAAGAATAGTATTTCCTGATACATGAAAATTCCATGAAATTCAAATTGCCAGTGTTCTTAAATAAAGTATCACCAGAATTAAGTCCTGATCCTTTGTTTACAACTCTTCTTTTTTTGTTGTTTTTTCATTTTAACATCTTTATTGGAGTATAATTGCTTTACAATGGTATGTTAGTTTCAGCTTTACAACAGAATAAATCAGTTATATATATACATATGTTCCCATATCTCTTCCTGCTTGCATCTCCCTCCCTCCCACCCTCCCTATCCCACCCCTCCAGGTGGTCACAAAGCACCGAGCTGATCTCCCTGTGCTATGTCAATTTTTGAATTGGACGTTGAACGTAGGAACATATGACTCTCCCAAGATAACATAATGAACACAACAATTGGACTAAATCCAGGTCTCCTAAACCAGCACTTGATCCATGTATAGTACTTTATTTTGAAAAGAAAAAGTAATCAATATATAGTAAACCATTTAAAATGGTATCTACCTAAAGACTTAAATGTAAGACTGGAAACCATAAAATTCCTAGAAGAGAACATAAGCAGAACACTCTTTGATATAAATTGTAGCAATTTTTTTTGAATCTGTCTCCTAAAGCAAAGGAAATAAAAGCAAATATAAACAAATGGAGCCTCATTAAACTTCAAAGCTTTTGCACAGCAAAGGAAACAACTGACAAAACAAAAAGACAACCTACTGAATGGGAGAAAATTTTGCAAATAATATGACTGTTATATAAATGGAGTTACTATCTAAAATATTTAAGTAGCTCATACAACTCAACATCAAAAAAAAAAAAAACCCAATTAAAAAAATGAGCAGAAGACATGAATAGACATTTTTCCAAAGAAGACATACAGATGGAAAACAGGCACAGGAAAACATGCTCAGCGTCATTAACTGTCAGGAACTGCAAATTAAAACTACAATGGCTATCATTAAAGAGATCAGAAATAACAAATGTTGGCAAGGGTGTGGAGAAAAGGGAACCTTTGTACACTGTTAGTGAGAATACAAAATGGTGCAGCCACTATGGAAAACAGTATGGCGATTTCTCAAGAAACTATAAGACCCAGCAGTTCCACTTCTGAGTATTTATCCAAAAAACAAAAACAAACAAACAAACAAACAAAACCCCAAAACATGAATTTGAAAACACTAATTTGAACACTGCACACAGTGTTCCTAGCAGCATTATTTACAATTGCCAAGATATGGAAGGAACCTGAGTGTCCATCTAC